AGGCAAAAACTGGCTGCCCAGGAAATGTATTGGTCACATAGATGGTGCCTTTTATTAATGTGAGTCAGTGCTTAAAAATAAGCAGGTCTCAGGTGAGAATCCGCACTCCTACCATATTCTAGACACTCAGAGGACCTGGCCACACAGGGCCTGTGTTCCCACAGGCTACAGCAGAATGGAGCTCCGATGCACAGGCACATGGTTTCTGCCTTAGCCCGTGTCATGGACGTGGCTGTGCCCTCTGGTTGAAGCCTTAACCCCCAATGTGACTGTGCTTAGGCACAGGGCCTTTAAAGAGGTCAAATGAGGTCATAATGTGGAGTCCTCATGAGAAGAGAAAGAGACCTCAGAGTCCTCTCTTTTCCCCGTGTCTACACACACAGAGGACAGGCCATGTGAGGGCACTGTGAAAAGGCAGCCATCTGCAAGCCAGGAAGACAGCCCTCAGCAGACACCAACCCTGCAGGTTCTGTGACCTTGAACTTCCAGCCTCCAGAATTGTGAGAAAATAAGTGTCTGTTTTTCAGGCCATCCAGCCTGCGGCATTTTGTTATGGCACCAAACAGGTGACACACAGCTCATGGTCAGGGTGTGAGAGGTATCAGAGAACTCCTGACCACTACCACCTTCTACATATGAGCATTTGGCCACGACTCCAACCCCCACGCCCCTCAGCCTCCCAGTCCTACTCCACCGCACTAGCTCCGACACTGCGATCACGGGCCTGGGCTTGCTGCCTTCTAACTGCAGTTTTCATCTTATCCACATCCTGCCTTGCACCGCCTTAAAACCCAGCCATTGTGTGCTTGAAAGCCGCACCATCTGAAAATTAAAGTGGGATCACATCACTCTTGCCATTAGGGCCTCAGAGCCACAGTGGTTCCTGGACTCTTGGGCAGGCCTGGGAATCTCACAAGATTCTGCAGGACAAGCCAGCTGTGCCATCAGGCTCAACCTGATGTCTTAGGCGATGCAGATCTGAACACAGTACTCCAGGAGAAATGCAAACACGATTCATATGAACTCAAGTGAATTGAATATTTATTCTCAGTGGAGGCCTCTGGGAAGCAGGCAACTGGAGGAGTTGCCATTGTGGGAGATGGGACTAGCCTCGGGCGGGCTAGGAGGCACAGGGACCGAAGGCACTTTTGAGTTCTCTGACCCCTGTTGCTGGGCTCTCAACACACATTTCCAGAATAAATAGATGAGTGGGGTCAGTGAGCAAAAATAAGTGGCTGGTAACACAATGGCAGCAACAGCAAGTATTATAGGAGGTCAATCTGCAAGTTATGTTTCTGGTAAGAAATTTCCAGCTAAATCCATTCCAAATCCTAGCAAAGCCAAGGACCTTTCTGCATTTAAGTGAAATTTACCTAAAATCTGATAAACAACACCAACTTGATCTAACAGGATGTGTTTTAGTGTTGACAACATTGAAGTGAAAGATCTGATACATTCCCGGGCAAAACTTGAGTCATTTGATTCAATGTCATTTCAGATATGATGTTGCCATGCAGCTGTCTAGGCCACAAGAAAAATAACGCTTTTAAAAATGTCCTTTGAGAACACATTCAAGCCATGCTAAAACAAGGGGAATCTTTATGGCCGGCGCCGCGGCTCACTAGGCTAATCCTCCGCCTAGCGGCGCCGGCACACCGGGTTCTAGTCCCGGTCGGGGCGCCGGATTCTGTCCCGGTTGCCCCTCTTCCAGGCCAGCCCTCTGCTGTGGCCAGGGAGTGCAGTGGAGGATGGCCCAGGTGCTTGGGCCCTGCACCCCATGGGAGACCAGGAAAAGCACCTGGCTCCTGGCTCCTGCCATCGGATCAGCGCGGTGCGCCGGCCGCAGCGCGCCGGCCGCGGCGGCCATTGGAGGGTGAACCAACGGCAAAGGAAGACCTTTCTCTCTGTCTCTCTCTCTCACTGTCCACTCTGCCTGTCAAAAAATTAAAATAAAAATTAAACAAAAAAAAAAAACAAGGGGAATCTTTAGAGCTCACTGTTCTTATCTCCCACTTCTCTTCTACAGAATAATAGCTTCTTAATTTTTTTTGATGATAAATCAAACATTTTCTGCTTCACATACTTTTTTTAAAAGATGTTCAAACAATCACATTAAAACAACATTATACTGTCACAACGCTAGATCCTATTGATATTACTCTTCTGTCATTTCTTCAGACAGTAATTCTCCTCTTCTTGAGTTACTGTGATGCACTTAAAAATTTGGCTGGAGCAATTTCTGATTAATTTCTCTCTAGAAAAATATATGGGTAAGGCTGGTGCTATGATGTATTGGGTAAAGCTGCCGCCTGCAGTGTCGGCATCCCAAATGGGCACTAGTTTGAGTCCTGGCTGCTCCACTTCCCATCCAGCTCCCTGTTAATGTGCCTGGGAAAGCAGTACAAGATGGCTGAAGTACTTTGGCCCTGCTCCCACGTGGGAGGCCTGGAAGAAGCTCCTGGCTCCTGGCTTCTGATTGGCCCAGCTCCGGCCACTGTGGCCATTTGGGGAGTGAACCAGTAGATGATGGAAGACCTCTCTCTCTCTCTCTCTCTGCCTCTCTGTAACTCTGCCTTTCAAATAAATATATTAACCTTAAAAATTATACATCTATGGGTGGGGTAGACTTTGAGCACCTACATGTCATTTCAGCTATGATGATGAACCACAAGTTATAGTAGGCCATGAGATCATGTCTTTAAAGAGTGCAGTCATTCAAAATGTTACAGAAGTGGCAAGTTATTTTACCTTTTCACATTCACAATGATTTAACTAGGTTTGGAGTTCTAGAATGAGAATTCCATATCTGCCACATTGTACAAGTCAGCGCTGTAGAGAAGAACCCTGCAGCTGATGGGTCTCTTCCCTTTTGAGGTAACCTGTGAATTTATTTGGGATACACTAATCCTTATCCATAGTTTAGACTTCTGCAGTTTCAGTTACCTGTAGCCAACCAAGGTTGGAAAAGATTAAATGAAAATTACAGAAGTAAATAATTGATATTTTTTTTTGCCAGGCAGAGTTAGACAGTGAGAGAGCGACAGAGAGAGAGTTATAGACAGTGAGAGAGAGACAGAGAGAAAGGTCTTCCTGCCGTTGGTTCACTCCCCTAATGGCCGCCACGGCTGGCGCTGCGCCAATCCTAAGCCAAGAGCCAGGTACTTCCTCCTGGTCTCACATGCTGGCGCAGGGCCCTAGGACCTGGGCCATCCTCCACTGCACTCCCAGGCCACAGCAGAGAGCTGGACTGGAAGAGGAGCAATTGGGACTAGTACCTGGTGCCCCAACCAAGACTAGAACCCAGGGTGCTGGCACCGCAGGCTGAGGATTAGCCAAGTGAGCCCCGGCGCCAGCCAATAATTGATAAATTTTACATTGTTGTGGGCTTCTCTAAGTAGCTGACAAAATTTGTGTCATCCAGCTTTGTCTTGCCCAGGATGTGGCTCACTCCTTTGCACAGTGTATACACACCGTTTACACCACCTACCTGTTTAGGCACTTACATCTTGGTTATCAGATAGACTTCCCAGGAACCATGGTATTTGTGTTCAAGTAAACCTTACATATAGCCTAACGCTGGACCACTTCACCTCATCTCATTGCGAAGGCATTGTACATCTCACATTATCATCAGAAGGGTGAGTCCAGTGCAAGAAAATCTCAGACAGAGGCCATGGTCACATGATTTTTATGATAGTGCATTATTATACCTTCTACATTATTGTTATTGTTGGTCTCTTACTGTGTATAGGACCAAGTATAGTATACAAAGGGCTGGGCACTACCCAAAGTTTCAGGCATCCACAGAGGGGGCATGTCTTGGAAAGCAGCCCCTGTGGATAAGTGGCTACCATACTTTTTGTTTTTCTGTACTACTACCCCCTCCTAAACTTCCCGTTGTTTTAGATTTCAGATATTGCGTCAGGATACAGCATGTAGGTTTATGTTGTTTTAGCCACTCATTCTTGCAGTGAGTCTTTCAAACTCAACATACCTTGTTCCCTAGATCGTAAAGGTTGCATCCATTTATGAGCAGGCTTCTTGCTCAAGTCACTTAACACTCTCCTTATGCACAGCTGGGCAACCTGGACCATTACCCTTCCTGCTATCCCACAAGATGGGTCAAAAGCCTCCATCTTATTTTTGTTCTCTTAAAACCTAAAAGCAACAAGTAGCGTCAGGAATTCATGCCTGTTTTCACCTTTTTCTACAGTACACACACCATGTTACTGGATCGTAGAAGCACAAGTAACACCTGCGAAAGCGAGGCTCAGAAAACACTAGCAGTGTGGGCCATTACTTTAAAATGCTGTGTGTGTGTGTGGGTGGGTGGGTGTACGCCCTCTTGTTTGCAGAATGCACAAGGGGCTGCCAGGCTCTTGGGCTGCCGGATCTCGGGAGGGACAAACATGCACACAGCACCGAGGCTGAACTTGCACAGAGAAACACAAGTGCCCCATCTTCAGCTGCTGACTTAATTTCTCAAAAGGCAACAAGCCACACCCACCGACAACTCTGCTGGAATAAAAGCTCTGTGGTTAAGCTAAAAGGCCTTCAAGGTCTTATAAATCTCATTTGTGTTCTTAGAGCGAACAGCAATGGCACTGCTACTGTGGCAGGAAATGAGACTCTGACCTGGACATCCCTGTGGGTCGTACACTATGGAAATCAGTCAATCGAAAAGGGGGACCTTTTCCAGACAGGCACACTCATTAGTAAGAGGCGAGCCACCCGGCCATCATCACAAGGCATGGACAAGAGCAAAACCACCGCGCAACGTGTCATTGGAGTGAATATTGTCGGGTTAAAAATGCTACCCAGAGTTTAAAGACCCCTGCCGGTTTTTACAATCAGCGTTTAAAGCCCTATTCCCGGGCTGCGATCGGTCGCCCATCCCCGCCCCTTCCCCCACCCCGAGATCCGCCACCCTTGCGACCCCTGCGGGCTGCGCGCGTCCCCGCCGTCCCCACGCCCGGCGAGGGCGCCCGCGCGGGACCTACCCAGCAGCAGCAGCCGGTGCGTCTGTTGCAGGTCGCGCTTCTGCTCGCGCAGCATGCGGTCGATGCCCCGGCTCACTTTCTTTGCCTCCCGCGCAGCCTCGCGCTCCTCGGCGCTCAGCTGGTCCCCGCGCCGCCTCTTCTCCTTCTGCGGGGCCGCTTTGGGCCGCGCGCACGCCGGGCTCCCACCGCCTGCCCGAGGGAGCAGGGTCCGGGCCGCGTCGCCCCCCGCCGCCTGCGCGGATGCTCGGGCGGGGACCAGGGCCAGGACCGGGGCCGGGGCCGGGGCCGGGGCGGGCGTCGGCCGCGCATCCTCCCCGGGCGGTTCCGAAGCCTCGCAGGGGGCTTCTTCGGGGCCGCCGAAGAGCAGCGGCCGCAGACTGTAGCACAGACCCATGTGGGCGTAGGGGACGCGCCGGACAGGGGGTCGAAGCGCCGAGGGCGGCTGGGTTCAGGCCGGGGTCCCCGCGGAGGGGCTCGAGGGGGCTGCTCTCGGACCCGGCGTGGTGCTGCGGTCCGCCGGCCGCGGGGCGGAGTTGCGGCGGGCCCCTGAGGGCCACGGCCCCTCACTGCCCCCGAGGGCCATTTTGCATTTTCCGTTGGGTGCCGGAGGTGGCGGTCGCCCGGGCTGGAGATCACCTGATGGCGCCGGGAGCTGACCGAGCCGACGGGCCTCGGCGAGCCCGGCCCCCGTTACCGTAAACCCCGCCGCCGCCCCAGCCCCGCTACAGTAAATACTGCCGCCCGGGCTGCATCTCGTTACCGTAAATATTGCGGCCTGGCCAGCCCTGTTACCGTAAGTACCGTCGCGCGTGCAAAACTCGGCTGCCGTAAATACCGCCGCGCGAGCCTGGCGCGCAGCTGCGGACAGTGGTGCAGTGGCGGTGCGGTCACCTCCTGGAGCCTTGGTTGCTGCCGTTAGAAACCACGGTGGCCTTGCTCTTGGTCGGATGCAGGGATAGAGACGCCGGCTTTAAGGCTTTCAGTTCCCCAATGCTGAGATCTCTGGGCCGTGCCCCTTTTCTGCTAACAACACATGCACGCTCGTCCACGCCCTCCTGATCCCTACTCAAACGCTACTACACAGTTGACTACAACAAAATCTCCAATGTAGAGGTTCACGGCACCGCTTTCAACACCCTCCAAGCTAACTTAAAACGTAAAAAGGGACACGTGTGTTTGTCGTGTGCTATTTGTACTCGTTAAAACGAGAATGTGAAGTTGCAACACCCAGGATAGTGCAGGGAGGCCCTTTCAGACCGGGGGACGCTCTCTCCAATCCTCTGCAGGTACAAACCCTCGCTCCCACCTCCTGCGTTCTTTCCTACTTCGTGCACATGCTACAGAGCAGTTCCAACAGGTGAATACCTCAGGATGGCTTTTAAGAAACTTGCTGTATCAGATGTTACATGGTTTCGAGGAAAATGATGTGGAATATTATAAATGATAAACATCTAAATTCCGTGGATATAGCAGATTAGGCCAGTGTCTAGCTATCATCTATCCATCCATCCATCCATCCATCCAATCTATAGAGAGAGATTCTCCAAAGAATAATGGTATTTATCTGGGAATAAAGGAGCAATGCCATAGGAATACATCTTCCAGAGTAAACATGAGCACAAACACATTGAGGCAAGGGGAAGTTTTTGAAGGCCAAAATGAGGAGACTGATGTGGAACATTTTGAAACAATAATCTTTGGCCGTGATTATGAGGGTGATGTCTGAGGTTGCACTGCTGGATGGATGTTAATGAGAAGTAGTTTGTGTGTGAGACTGTACTGGCCTCTGTTGTAATGCTGTAGTTCTGGCAGTCTTTTGTGATGGTTGCTATTAGGCTATTACATGTTCTTCATAACCTGATTTTATTTTTTTGTTAGGGTTGATACAGCGACTCTATTTTGATTCTCACAACTTAGAAATTCTTTTCAATAGCATGCTCTCAGTGTATGCTATCAGTTGGCAATTGGTATAAATATCACATTTGATTACTGAGAAAGAGAAATTGACCAAGATCTTCCATTCACAGGTTCTGTCCCCAAATATCCAAAGCTGCGTGGGCTAAGCTAGGTCAAACTCAGGAACTTGGCACTCCATCTGGGTCTCCCATGTGGGTGGCAGGACCCAAGTACTTGAGTCATCACCTGATGTTTTCCAGTGTGTCTGTTAGCAGGAAACCGGATCAGAAGCAGATTGAGGCCTTGAACCCAGTCACTCTGATATGGGATGTGAGTTTCCCAAGTGGTGTCTCAACTGCTGTGCTACACAGCCTGCCCCTGATTACATTTAAATAATAAGTTGAGGTCCAGTATTCACATTTCTTTTGGTGCCTTGTTAGTAACAAATACATATACTATGCAATGCTTTTGGCTTAACATTATCCAAAATATTTTACCAAAATTATGGTATACTTTTAGATATTTTCAGGGTAGAAGGCAGAGGGACTGTTTTAGTCAGTTTTTAGTTACTACAACAAAATTCCCAAGACATTGACTTTATTAAGAGGTGGATTTTGATGGTTCATGTTATGAGATCGAATAGGCCTTTTGGTTTGGCATCTGATGATAACTTTGTTGCTTTCAGAGTCTTGAGGTAGCACAGAGCATCACATGACAAGAGACAGGGAAAGTACACGTCTGTGTCTGTGTGTGTCTCCTACAGCCACCAGGATTTTTTTTTTTTTTTTTGACAGGCAGAGTGGACAGTGAGAGACACAGAGAGAGAAAGGTCTCTTTTGCCGTTGGTTCACTCTCCAATGGCCCCCGCGGCTAGCGCGCTGCGGCCGGCGCACCGCGCTGATCCAATGGCAGGAGCCAGGTACTTATCCTGGTCTCCCATGCGGGTGCAGGGCCCAAGGACTTGGGCCATCCTCCACTGCACTCCCTGGCCACAGCAGAGAGCTGGCCTGGAAGAGGGGCAACCGGGACAGAATCCGGCGCCCCGACCGGGACTAGAACCTGGTGTGCCGGCGCTGCAAGGCGGAGGATTAACCTAGTGAGCCGCGGCGCCGGCAACAGCCACCAGGATTTAATCATGGAGACATCATCTTAAAAGACCCAGTCCAATCCACCCATCTCCTAGAGACTCCAACTTCAAACATGGTAAATAGATTAGGTGAATACACTTTAAATGCTATGAAGTCATGACTTTGAAGCTTAAACTTCTGCATGAGTTTTGGGGACATATATTCAAGCCATAGTATTCTGCCTCTGGCCCCCTGAAACTCTTATCCTTCTCACATATGCACCTTTCCATACCCCTAAGTCCCAAAGTTTTGACTCAGTCCAGCATTAAAGTAAAATTTCAAAGTCCAAAATCTCACATTAGATTCAAGGCAAATTTCTCCAGTTGTGAGCCTGCAAAAAAATCTGAGTTACAAACATTTCCATTCCAAAAAGAGAAGTGGACAGGAAAATCGGAGGAATAATTGTCCAAAGCAAAACTGAAACTCAGTAGAGCAAATATTAAATACTGAAGTTTTATTTCTGGTAACTGGAACACATATCCAGGGCAGGGGCATAGGGGGAGCCCTGCCTGTGGCTTTGCTGATGTCACAGTCCACATGGCTGCTCTCTGAGGTTAGATGCAGACACCTGGGATTTTCAAGGTTGGTGTGGTATGTTACTGGTCGTTTTACCTCCCTGGGGTCTCCACATTGCGCATCCACTTCATCCCTATTGATACGGGCTAGGCAGGGAGTTAGTGAGGGACGAGGAGCTAAGTGGTTTTCAGCAGCCTCTGTGCCAATAGCCCTGTACCACTAAAAGCTCCCAAGCCATTAGCAGGGAGCTGGATCAGAAGTCGAGCAGCAGGAACTTGATGCTGGCATGGCAGGTGGAGGCTTGACCTTCAGCGCCAGCCACTGAAATCGTACATTATGCAAAACAAAAAAACAAACAACAATGAAGAAAAGTGACATTTAAAGACCTAGGGGTCAATATTGTCTGGTCACTAAGAGTGTAATTAGAGTCCTGGAAAGAGGAAAAAAGAAAATGGTGCAGAAACAATATTGGAAGAAATAGTGATCGTTGATTTCTGAAAATCAGTAAAAGACATTAACTTATAAATCCTAAAATTCAAAGAACATGAAGTAGGATAAGTATAAGGAAAATCACATTTAAATACATCAAGTAAAATTACTGAATTTTTGCAAATATAAAGAGAGAATTAGTAAAGTAGTCAAGGAGCCAGCACTGTGGCACAGCAGGTTAAGCTGTAGTAAGAAGAGAACAGTTATGAATGTGTGTACAGAATTTTGAAACACAGAACTTAAGAAAGAAGCAAACAAAGCCACAGTCCTAATTGGTTCTTGTAGCATGATGGCTCATTAACAGAAAAATCGGGAGGTTGGAATGGGGACAGGCATCTGGTACAACAGTTAAGACACTGCTTGGACACAAGTGTCCTGTATTGGAATGCCTGGTTCCAGTCCTGGCAAGTCTACTTCCCAGGCAGCTCGCTGCTGATGTGTACCCTTGAAGGCAGAAGGTGATGGCTCCAGTACTTGTAGGCAGCCTGGATGAAATTCTTGGCCATTGGCTTCAGCCTGGCCCAGCTCTGGCTGCTGTGGCCATTAGGAGAGTGAACCACCAGATGGAAGATCTCTCTCCATCTCTCCATCTGTCTCTCTGCCTTTTGAAGAAATAAAGATAATTTTAAAAAGCAATGCTCCTCCCAAGTTCATGTGGCATGTTCACACAGATACTGGGCCAGATGTCTCAATAAATTCTTTTTTTTTTTTTTTTTTTGACAGGCAGAGTGGACCGTGGCCAGTGCACCGCGCTGATCCGATGGCAGGAGCCAGGTACTTCTCCTGGTCTCCCATGGGGTGCAGGGCCCAAGGACTTGGGCCATCCTCCACTGCACTCCCTGGCCACAGCAGAGAGCTGGCCTGGAAGAGGGGCAACCAGGACAGAATCCAGCGCCCCGACCGGGACTAGAACCCGGTGTGCCGGCGCTGCAAGGCAGAGGATTAGCCTACTGAGCCGCGGCGCCGGCCTCAATAAATTCTAAAATACTAAAAGTCTTACAGAGGATGCTGTTTGGCCACAATGGAATTAAACTAGAAAAATTTAAGTATCTAGGTTATCCCCAAATATATGGAAATCAAACAATAAGTTTCCAGCTAAACTGTGGTTTTAGGAATGAAAATCTTACCTATCAGAATTGGTGAGATGCAGCTAAAGCAGTTTTTAGGTGAATATTTGCAGCTTTAAATGCTTACATTAGGAAGGAAGAAAGGCTTAAAATCACTGATCTTAGTTTATACCCTGTGAATCTAGAAAAAGAAATTAAACACAAGATAAGTAGAAGAAAGGAAATAATGAAGAACAGGAACCAAGAGGAGTGAGGAAGGCACAACTGTCTTCTTTGAAAAGTCCAATAAAGTTAATAAATCTGTACTAAGAAATTAAAAACAAATTTAAGTTTATTTATACAATGGAATATTACTCTTGAATAAAGAGAAATGAACTAATAATGAATTTTACAACATAGATAAATCACACAGACATTATGCTGAGTGAAAAAAAAAAAAGCCACAGAAGAGTACATACTTCATATGTGAAGTTCTGGAGTAGAATTAATTCAAGTTGAAAAAAATAACAGTACTTGCCTCTGGAGCCTAGTATTGAATGAAAAGAATCGTGGCCGGCGCCGCGGCTCACTAGGCTAATCCTCTGCCTTGCAGCACCGGCACACCGAGTTCTAGTCCCGGTCAGGGCGCCGGATTCTGTCCCAGTTGCCCCTCTTCCAGGCTAGCTCTCTGCTGTGACCAGGGAGTGCAGTGGAGGATGGCCCAAGTCCTTGGGCCCTGCACCCCATGGGAGACCAGGAAAAGCACCTGGCTCCTGGCTCCTGCCATCGGATCAGCGTGGTGTGCCAGCCGCAGCGCGCCGGCCGCGGCGGCCATTGGAGGGTGAACCAACAGCAAAGGAAGACCTTTCTCTCTGTCTCTCTCTCACTTTCCACTCTGCCTGTCAAAAAAAAAAAAAAAAAAAAAAAAGAGGGAGACGAAATATATTCAGTATTTGGTCTGAGTCAGCCATTTTTTTTTTTCCAAAAACGTACAACCTAAGATGTGTGCATTGCAACAGATGTAAATTTTATGTAAAACACCTAAAATTTAGTGGGGTGTGGGATGGCAGAAGAGTGGCAGAATGTTTATCATTGTTGAAGGTGAGGGATGGATACATTTGGGTTCATTATACTACTCTGTTCGCACATGTTTGAAAATTTCCACAGAACATTAGGAAATCATGAACTATATTTTAACCACTTTAAAAATGCAAACATACTGTGCAATTTTTTGATAATGCAAAATGTTGAAATTTTAGTGACCTGGAAAGTATTCTTGATAAACAAAGAAAAGCACATATAAAAACAACACTTTTTTTTTTTTTTAAAAAGATGTGGTTATTTATTTTGAAAGTCACAGTCATAGAGAGAGAGGGAGAGACAGAGAGATCTTCCATCCACTGGTTCAGTCCCCAGATGGCCACAAAGGCCATCGCTTAGCTAGGCCAAAGACAGGAGCTGGGAACTTCATCTGGGTCTCTCATGTGGGTAGCAGGGAACCAAGCAATCGGGCCATCTCCTGCTGCTTTATTCAGGCCATTAACAGAGAGCTGGATTGGAGTGGCGCAGGATCAGGGTTAGGGACACAAACCAGTGCCTATATGGAATGCCCATGCTTTGTGGGCAGAGTCTTAACCTGCTCTCACAACACCAGCCCTCAGATGGCACATTTTCTTGAAAAAGCATGTCAGTTTAGACACAGTCATTGAGAAATTGCTTTCTGAGTTATAAGCAGAGTTGTGTTTTTGTGGTGGAACTTTAGGGGACTTTTCTTTATGCTTTTTGCCCTAATTTCCAACCCTTTCCCTCATGAACAAGAATGACTTCATTATTATATTCATTATACTGATCTCCTGGGAGCCTTGCATATTGTTGATTCTAATCCAAGCTGTAGACAGTCTGGGCATTTGCCTATTTCCTGTCTCTGTCAGCGCAGAAGACGCTGAGAAGAACCTGAGACCAGAAGGGATCTTTGCTTCTTCTCTCCACCGGATTCCAGTGGCTGAGGGCTCAGACAGTGAACACACATCCAGGGAGTATGTACAGTGATTTCCTGGGATTCCACAAGAAGATGCAAGGACATCTCTAAAAGTTTGCATTTTTTAACTAGATCCTTTTAATATTTTTGTATGTTTTGTAACAATCATGCTGTGTCAAAGAATTGACAGATGACATTTGTTAAGGGTTGGGGCTGAGATATTTTTTCACTGATTGGGTGATCAATGTCGGGATGCTGATTTATCTGATGAGTGGTAGCCTGTGCCATTTGGAGAGTGTCCTTGGAAGACTTCAGAGGTAGGGACCATCTGGCCGGTGGGCTGTGCAAGTCCTGTGAAATCATTTGGCCTGACCTTGCCAAAGCAGCCACAGGAGGCTGTGGTGAATAAATATCCAATATCCAATAAATGTAATGCAAGCTAATATTTAAGTTGATAATTTTGTATTGCCCGTTGAACGATGTTCTAAATATCTAAATGGCCGTTGGCAGGAAAGGCTCTTCTCTCCTGCATCTAAGAAGGGTTCCCACCTGGGGAGTTGGAGTGGGTCTGTGTTGGGTGAGCTGGGAATGTATTTAGCTCCCAACACTGGGCACTGGAAGTAACAACTGACTGGCCTGGGCCAGACTGCTGCTCATGGCCAAGATGAGGCTGTGGTCATGAACACTGTCCTCAACCTGATTCAGAGCCCAGTGGACACCAGGGAGTCTTTGCTCTAAAATCACATAAATTAATCAGTTCAACAGCTTGCATTCTGATACTCCTTGGAAATTTTTGAATATGTAACATGTGATTGTGTATATACACCACATTGTGTCTGTTCATCCACTGAGGGACACCTAGGCTGAGTCCCCACCTTAACCACTGTGAACAGTGCTGCAATGAAACTTGGGGTTACGTTTGTTCTCCTGGGCACCCTGATCTCAATTCCTTTGGGTATATATCCAATTGTGGGATCACTACCATCAGATGCAGTTCTTTTTTTAAAAAATATTTATTTATTTGAAAGAGTTACACAGAGAGGAGAGAGGAGAGAGAGAGAGAGAGAGAGAGAGAGAGAGAGAGAGGTCTTCCATCCGCTGGTTCACCCCCCAATTGGCTGCAATGGCTGGAGCTGGGCTGATCTGAAGCCAGGAGCCAGGAGCTTCTTCCAGGTCTCCCACGTGGGTGTAGGGGCCCAAGGACTTGAGCCATCCTCTGCTGCTTTCCCAGGTCATAGCAGAGAGCTGGAAGGGAAATGGAGCATCAGGGACTTGAACCGGCACCCATATGGGATGCAGGCGCTTCAGGCCAGGGCGTTAACCTGCTGCACCACAGTACCAGCCTCAGGTGCAGTTCTAATTTTAGTTTACTAAGGGAACCCTATATGTATTGCATATTTCAAAACTGCTAGAAGAGTTATTTCTAAATGTTCTCACCACATACACAGAAAACAAATATATGAGATGATGCACATCCCATCTCAATCTAGAAACTTGATCATTTTTTTCCCTTACTCTCTTTCTAAGAAATCTCATCATCCAAGATAATGGTCTTATTTATTTTTATTTTTTTTTGACAGGCAGAGTGGACAGTGAGAGAGAGAGACAGAGAGAAAGGTCTTCCTTTGCTGTTGGTTCACCCTCCAATGGCCGCCGTGGCCGGCGTGCTGCGGCCGGCACACCACGCTGATCCGAAGGCAGGAGCCAGGTGCTTTTCCTGGTCTCCCATGGGGTGCAGGGCCCAAGGACTTGGGCCATCCTCCACTGTACTCCCTGGCCACAGCAGAGAGCTGGCCTGGAAGAGGGGCGACTGGGACAGAATCCGGTGCCCCGACCGGGACTAGAACCCGGTGTGCCGGCGCCGCTAGGTGGAGGATTAGCCTAGTGAGCCGTGGCGCCAGCCCCGATAATTGTCTTATAA